TATGCCTAATCGTGTCTTGTTGAGAAGTGGGAACCATTTAAGCATAATTATGCTTTATTTTAGATGGGAATATTTTAATGCATTTAAGCATAATTATGCTTTATTTTAGATGAGAATATTTTAGTACAATAGAGAGATCGAACTTATAGCGTCTTGATTTAGAGATATATGTCAATTACTGCTGAGCTATGATCGCTTTAGCGGGAATATTTTAATATTTCTCTACAATTCAATCAACATTGATATGTGAATAGTTTGCTAAAGTTAACATAGTTCAGCGTTATTGAAAATATATATATATATATATATGAGAATATTTTAGTGGTTAAAATAGGGTCGTAGATTCAAATCCTACGATTTTCTTACTTCGATGTTCTTAACTTTAGTTGGTTCAAGTATGAGTTATCATTGACTAATCCATGCCCTTTGTTTAAACTAAAAAAGAAAAGTAATTTTTTTATGTTAATTTTAAGTATAACTTAATTTGTGTTAAGACATTAATCATCTCTTCTAAAGGTCATGAATTTGAATAGAAAAAAACCCTTTTTTTCGATTGAGCCATTGTATTATTAAGAAACACATGTTATGTAATTTCATCTGAATGCTTAATCTTACTTTATATTGGTTTTTTTAATTAGTTCAACAATATGTGGAGGCAGAGATTCGAACATTCAACATTTTAGTTTAATGATACATATCTTAACTATTTGAATTATGTTTAGTTCGATTTATATTTTCTATGTGTTGCATATCTTTTTTTTTATATTACATATTTTACCATGCCCTTTGGTTAGTCTTAAAATGTCTTTTGTTTTTTCTCTTTGTTCTATAAAATAATTTAAGTGTCATGGACTCATTGGAAAAAAAAATAGTGTCATGGACTTGAATATACCATTCAATTTTTTTGTCAATAAGTCAACCTGAATACAGTTTAACTAGTTAAGACATATATCATCGGTCAAAAGGTGGAATGATCGAATCTCCACCCCTACAAGTGCGTTGAACTTAAAAAAAAAAGATATATTTAAAATTAATAATAATTTCATTGTCAAGATGACATGAAAAATTGAAGGGTTTATTTATTGAAGGGGAGAAGATAATAACTTTGAATGGTGTGAGATGAAGTAGAATTCATGGGTGGGATTGAAGCTAGGAGAGTGTGGGGACTTGCTTATCTTTTCCTCTCTTCAAGTTATGGTTTTTTTCTTTTTCCTAATAATTTAATAAATAGTGGGAGAATGTGTTTGAAAGTGGTAGCCATTTTTTTGAAATAGTATTTGTATTGGGTCCAATCCAATATGAGATGGGATATTCACTTTTAGCCACTATTTCCAACCCTTATCTTTCCATGATATATATAAATATATATATCCTATAGGGTAAATTAATAGTTAAATTCTAAGTTTAGTAGATAAACTTTCTAAGTTTTTTTTTTCTTTCTTAGTAAATGAAGTTTCAAGTTTGCATCAAATCAAGTTTGAACTTTGGAAAATGTATAACTAGTCTCTCAGCTTAATCTAATAAGTCTCTAAGTTTTTAATTTTGTGTTTAATCGATCATTGAACTTTCAATTTATGCTTTATATTTCTTGATATATTCAATTTGCAACATTTATCTATGTGTTTGGGGTGATTTAACTGACAATCTGATGAAACTGAAAGTCTGGGGTGAAAATCGATACAAATCACTAAGTTTAGGGGCAAAAATTGATTTTTTTTTCCTATTATAAAACATATATATGGGATTAACTTAATAGGATTCCTAAAAAATGACAATAGAGATATATTTTTTTTTTTTGAAATTTTTAAGTGTTGGTGGAATTACTTTAATATTCGATTTTGTGCATTAATCAAATTTAATTTTATGCAAAATAGGATTTTCATTAAATTAGTAAGCTTTGGAAGTTTTTTTGATCAAATCTAATGGGTGAATTAGCGAGAAATCGAAAAGATTATACAAATTACAATGCCATGAAATTAAAAGTTTGTATTCAAAATTACATTTATGCCATGAGATATCTCAACTTTGAAAATGAACCCTTTTTAAAAAAATAAAAATCTAATATTACTTCCAAAATTTACTAAAATTTCAATTTTCAGGTATGTTTTCAAATTAGAAAACAACTAGACAAAGACGAAGTGCACAAACAAATTCAAATTATTGAAGATTCATAAGAGATACATTTATTTTTTTATTCCATTAAAATAATTTAAAGAATCTCGAACACTAAAAAACATATTGCAAATGAATTAAATATTTAGAGATTCCAGGCATGTTAGGTAGCTCAGATTTTCAATTATTTCATCACACACACACTATACTATTTATATATTAAATTCAAAGTAAAAGTTGAAATAATTTTTTTAAAAAAAATTAAAAAGAGAACCAATCATGAGCTACTAAAATAGCATCAGTCGGACCTCACGTGCCCTTTTTGACATAAGGAACAAAAAGAATTTCTTACCAACTACCAAATTTTACATATTTATAACAAACTTTATAATATACTAGTAAAAAACAACCAGAAAAGTTTCATAGTTTTATTTTAGAGTTTAAAAGTATAAAAATTAATTAAACAATAAAAAAGTTTAATACAATTTGACTCTTTTTTCTCTCCACGTTTTTATCTCACCAACGTGTTATTCACCACTCATAAAATTGACGTTGTCGTAGATTCCATCACCCAAATTTAGTGACTAAAAAAATTGAGAAACAGTGTTACTTACAAATTTTCATGAGTRAAATACACCAAAAAAGAATAAATAATTTAACACATATTCCTAAATTTTCACCATTTTTTTTTCCTAAAAATAACAATTTCTAGAAAAAATAAAACTGTGTTGATTTCTTATTTGAGTCATTTGAGTCATTGAAAAGAAAGTAAGTATGTCATTTTTAGGTTTTTCTTAAATAAATTATTTGTTATATGTAATAGTAACAATTATTCACGTTGCATTATAATTAAAAGAAAAACTAAAAATTGAAGCTTAAAATATGAAAAAAAAAAATACAAGACATGAAGAAACCAAACAAATGAAAAAAGAAAAACTACAAAAAGAAAAACTCTTAAGTTTTGGCTGACAAAACATTAGAGAAATAATAAAAAAATAACAATTATTTATATAATGGTAGGAGAAAACTTATTAATTATAATTACAAATAAGTCATAACTTTTTTTATTTATTTTTTTTCGAAACATCAACTTTTTTATAATTAATTTATAGAAATAAAACTTTACCCATTTTAATTCTTTATGTTTTGTGATATTTTATTATTAATTATATTAAAACAACTATAATCTTTTCAATTAATATTATTAGAAACAAAGAGACAAAACTTGACCAATCCTATCTTAATTTTTGGTATTATCTTAACTCTTTGTTTTTACTCAATAATTAATCGTTCTTTTGATGATTCAATAATTAATGAAAAAAATAATTTGAGAAAAAAAATAATTGACAAAATAATATAGTGGTGTATATTAGTTGAAAGAACTGGAATGAGAGAAACACATCTATAGAGACAATAGATTAGAGAGAAATTTGTATTTAGAGATCAATTGTCCTAGTGATAGTGAAAACTTTTAAATAGAAGGATAAAATTGACGTAAATTAAGTTCAACTTTAACAACATGAAGAAAAACTTCTCATTTGAAGTATAACTTCAAGTTTAACAACACGTAACTTTAACAAAATAAAGTTACATAACACAAAATTGACACAAAAACAACTTCATGAAATAAATAATGAAATTGTTACAAATGTAAAATAAATTTCAAATTCTTAATATACAAATTTAATTTCTGGATGTTAAATTTGTATACTCAACGGTTTTCTCAATATCTTCAAGTTTTACTTTCTTTCACTATTAAAAATCCAACATATCTTAGTCATTGAATTATGTTCAGGTTGACTTTATGGCTCAACTTTCAAATGGATACAGTATCGGTCTAGAGAACTCGAGTCCTAAAACTTTGTAATGTATATGATATTTAGTCACAGTTTAACTTCAGTTAACAAGCCCACCTCTGGTTTAGCGGTGATCGCCTGACCCAACCCCCGACAACTGCGTTCAAGATTTTTATCTCTTTTATTATTATTTTTAGCATTTTACTGATTTTTAAAGAAGGAAAAAGATGATTTAGTTTGGAAGAAAAGAAACTGATGTCATTGGCAAAATTGAAAAAAAAATGTAATTATTGATTTTAAAATATAGAATTTTCTTCCTTTCTATCAATTCAATTATTTTTATCTATATATTTTTTTATTTGAATTTTACAGAATCTAAAAAATTGGCAATTTGAGAATTAATTATTTAAGATGCATTTTTTTTCTTCTGTATCGTGCACTGGATTCATAATATAAAAATCTCGTAGGATGTATTAAATTTATTATTCATTTCGAATTTGAATAAATTTCTTAGAATTGCGTACTGAGTAAATTATTTAAAATAAAAATTTATAGAGCTGCCACTGAATGCCACACATTTGCACACTTTTTTCTTTAGTGGTTGTTATAAAAAGCTATAAAAGCTCATCAAATAAAATCTGGCATCAAAGTAAAAAAAGTGAATAATTTTTAATTAAACGAAGAGAGAGAGAATCCCAATGGGCCTGGTAATGGGCCTCACTTGTCGGTCCAGTCTCTTCTCTCTCTTAGTTGGTGACATTTATTAATTTCTATATGTTTGTTTCTTATTATTATTATTTTTTTAATCATTTCAATGGAAAGTGTCGGTATGGTAAGTAGTCCATTTCAAGAGCTACATATAATTCTCATTTCCTTATGTGAATCTGAATTAAAATCAATTGAAATAAAAATAAATATTTATTGTGGTTCATACTGCTAACCGTTTCTAATTAACCCTATTTTAGCCCCCTTATACAACTTATGAACTTGCCTTATTAGTTATTTTCTGGTCAATTTTTGACCAATTGAGTTTGACCAATTGAGTTATAAGCATATCGACTTCGACTCTTTATCAAAAAAAAAAAAAAATGTTGACTTTGACTTATTAAATTAAAGTTGATTCGAATCTAATTAGTACACTAATTTATTAAAAACAATAGTTTTAGACTCATAAAATACACCACATGTGTATAAAAATTATTGTTCCAAACTACATTAAAATTAAAATTCAACCAAACATTCAAAAACAATTTTATAAACAAGTTTAGTTTAACTTTTCTTAAAAGAGAAGCCAAAATCAGAATCATTGTCTTTCTTTTGCAACAAAAAACTAAGAATTGATTTAATTGTACATAATCTACCTGATGGATGGGTTGGGTATTTTCACACCCTTCTTAAAACACCAATAATTTGCTAACATCGTCTACCTTTTCCCTTAAATTCTAATCTAACACAATTTCCTCCCAAAAGAAAAGAACGAAGTCCATAGTATAGCTAAACATCAAGCCCAAAGCGCGAGCGAAGACATCAATCCCGCGCCAAGAAAGAGAGTACAATACGAAACAACTTGGAGCCTAAAATTGCAGCTCATCCTCTTGCTGAGAAAGTCGGCCGCTATCAAATCAACCAGAGCCATGTACACCAGAATTCCCGCCGATAGAGAGTCCAAAATGCCCTCGGCAACCAGCGCCCCGGTGCTGTTGGGGTTGTAGGAGGAGGCAATGGCAGCACCGATGGCGATCCCGACGGGCGTGGTGACGGCGAAGAAGGCAGCCATGAGAGAGGTGGAGAGGGTGCTGAACTGAGCCTGAGAGATGCAGCCACCAAGGGCAAAGCCCTCAAAGAATTGATGGAATGATAGGGCTGCTATTAATGGTCTTATGGTGCATGGGCTGTGGGACACTCCCAGAGATAGCCCAATTATCACTGAATGTGACACTATTCCCAGCTCCAAAATCTGCTTCCCCAAGGAAAAAAATAAACCAATATTTAAATAAATATTTGGGAGTTTATTTTTCAAATATCTTGTCCTTTTATATTGCAATACATTTTAACTTTATTGTCATTATTCTGCTTTTGTTGTTTTCCTCTTGCATGTTATGTTTGATTGCTCTCAAACTTTGTTTTTTTTTTTTCAAAAAAAATATAGTACAGTGAATTATATATAAACTATTATTACTTTTTGAAATTTGCCTGAAATTTCAACAATTAATGAAATGAGTAGACACGTATTCCTTAAAAATAAAATATTAAACCAAAAAAAAAGATACTAACTCTAAAAAAAAAGTAAAGAATTTGACAAAAATTTAACTTTTAAAGGTAGATTGAAATTCTTTCCTGTTTCTCCCATAAAAAACTTGAAATTCAACTATTAACATATAATGCTTTCGTTTGTTAAAATTGTGTTTAATTCATCGTAATTTTCTCCTTCTCAAAGAAAAGATTTGAACTACTAGCTAAATTTCAAAAATAAAAAATAAAATTTTAGAAACTACGTCTTAATTTTGAAAACATTTAATTTTTCGCTCGTTGACTTTAGTGAACATCTTATTGCATTTCTCATAAGGAAAAAAAAAAAGAGAAAAAAGAAAAATAATAGAAAGAGTATGTCTATAAGTTAAGCAACATTGACATTTCGAGGTGAGAAGAGAATAAGGGGAACGTAAA